AAGCTACGTTTTGATATTGCACTATTTTTTAATTGAATAAAATAAAAGAAACATGATATTTTCACATGTTTTAAATGTAAATAAAATGTACATATGTACATACATACATACGTACGTACAAGTTTAGAAATAAAAATCATTGTCTTTTAAACATCTCCGTCAATGTAAGCTGTTTTGCGTTCTTCATCCGTTTTCGGGCAGCCAGGTCACGCATTCGCTTGACGGTGAGCAGTTGCAAGTGGTCACACTCGGGCTGACGCTCCATCCAATTCAAAGCAGTCTCGAGGCCGGCAAATGCTTCACTAGCTGATGGTCCAGCGTCTACTTCAACATCAGAAGAAAGTTCTTCTTCCACTTCCACTTCAACATCTTCTCTCACACTTTCAACAATTTCATCGTCATTGAGAATTTGAAAACCAGGGTCAGACGTGTCACAAGCCATCCACTCTCCTACATCTTCAGCACTTACTTCTGTACAACCAGGAATTTTTACAATCATTTTTCTCATTTCCTCTAGTGGCAACGCATCTTCATCTTCTCCATTTTCTTGTTTCTCATTTTCTTTTTTTTTGTTCTTCTCAGACGGTAGGCCTTTCAGTTTATTCCACGCACGTCTTAGCGTCACTGCCGTAACCAAACTCCAAGCTTCCGCTACCATGTAACAGCAGTACTTTAAATTTATTTTGCTATGATTTGCCAAAACCAATTCTTCATCTTCAGCACCTTCGATCAGCAGTTTTCTCAGCAGTTGCCTTCTGTAATGGCGCTTCATTGTTTCAATAACAGACTGGTCCATGGGTTGCAGCAAACTTGTAACATTGGGAGGCAAAAAACGTCATTTTAAACTGTCCATTCTCTCTTTCCAACAGTTCTGCTGTAGGATGAGTGGGTGCGTTATCAACAATTAAAAGCACCTTACTGCCTTCTTTTCCCACCGATTTTTGGTGCTTTTTCACTTCAGGAATAAACACTTCATCATACCATTCGGTAAACAAAGCTGCAGTCATCCAGGCCTTGGGTTGACTTTTGTAGAAGAGTGGAAGTTTTTTTACGTTTTTAAATGCTCTTGGATTTTTTGATTTTCCTATCAAAAGAAGTGGTAGTTTATGATTTCCAGTGGAGTTGGCACAGTTAAGCACTGTAACACGTTCTTTACTGACCTTATGTCCAGGGTAGATTCCCGTTTAGAAGCCAAAGTGGTTTTTGGTAATGCTTTCCAAACAAGGCCAGTTTCATCGGCATTATAAACAAACTCCGGATCATAGGATTCTGCTGCAGTTTTAAATTTTTCAATAAAACTTTCAGCAGCTGCAGAGTCCGCTGAAAGCTTCTCACCAGCCAAATCTAACTCGCGTACACCATGCCTGAATTTAAAGTTCCTTAGCCAGCCGTTACTAGCCTTAAAAGATGAATATAAAAGCTTTTCTGCTAAGATTTTGGCTTTTTCACAAAGGATTGGGCCTGAAATCGGATTTCCCATAGAACGTTGCTGCAAAAACCATTTAAACACGACATCTTCCAAATTTTTGTTGGTTGCTGTCTTCATTGTTTTCCTGGAGGAACTTCCATCTTCATTTTCAAGCACCGAAACAAAGTTTAAAAGTGTTGACTTACTGTTTTTAATGTCACAAATTGTTGCTTGTCCAACACCATAAATCTCAGACAACTTCTTACCCGTTACACCTTTATCGAGTTGCTCTATAATTTTCAGTTTGTCCGCTAACGATAGCACAACACGTTTTCTTTTCGAAGCCATGGTAAAAAACAATACAAACGTAAGCCGTAGCGAAAGAGTAGCGTTTTCGAGCAAGGTCAATAGCACACTGACTAATGTAACTGAACAAACAATGACAGGTGCGCCGTGACTCATAGCACGTGTTGTGCATACACTGACGCCGCGGACTTTGGACAATTTTCTGATTTTTTCTGAAATTGATTCGGATAATCGGCGATTCGGATAGTCGGAGTTCGGATAATTGGAGTTCTACTGTACTAACACTTGGAGTAGAAGTATATTGTTTGTATTTATCTAATTTAAAATAATACCATAACACGTGATACATTATTAATTTCAAAATTTCACCTTGTATTATTCATTATAGACCCTACATGATATAGTTTGTTGAAATCAGGTTGTTGAGAATCTTTTAAAAATATAAAAAATATACAGGGTGTTTCATTAACAATAAGGATTATCGACTATGCCAGACTTGCGTGGATCACCCTGTACATTTAAATTTATGTTTAAAAAGCTCACATTTAAATTTAAAAGTTAACGTGTCCCAGAGTTTTTTATTATTTTTCTATAATAAGGACACAAACAATTTTATTCCATAAGTGGTTTCCATATATATATATATATATATATATATATATATATATATATATATATATATATATATATATATATATATATATATATATATATATATATATCCCTTTCAGACCGCCCCTACCACACGATCGTGACGTGTGGTAGGTGACGTTTCATTTCAAAAATCCCCACGCATTAGAAACTGATCGTTTCAGGACCAAAGTAGCTCCAAATGATAGTGCATGAATCATACTAAGTGTATACTAACGCATGTTCACGTTAATAGGCAGTTAAATGTTGTTTATCGGCGAGAAAAAATGTCGGTAGAGAAAGATTTAATAATTAAGTTGATAATATTTGTAAAGGAATAGATAATGTATGGAAATAGTAATTACATAAAAATATCTATTTTCAAGAGCAAATTTTCTTGATCAAAAGTAAATCGTGCGTGTCCATCTCGTATTCACTTTTTAAAAGTTATTTGTTACACGTATTTAAAATAAGGTTTTAAGGAAATTGAGCCGGTTCCATCCACAAGTGCTTCAAATATAACTATTTTGTCAATTGATGTGCCAATCTCTAGAGGAAAATACAAAACAGAGTGGCTTCATCACAAAAGAACTGATCTCAGAAATAAAACTTCCCGGCAAAAATATAAATACGAAGTTGCCAGGCGTAAAATATGTAGCGAAACGATATAAAACAGCTCTAGATTGTTGGAAATTGTTTTTCCCCGATGAGATAATTTCTTATATTGTTGATTGCACCAATCAAAAATTAGATAAAATAAGGCCATCATACAATAATTCAAAAAACTGCGCGCCAACCGATTTTATAGAAATTAGTGCATTCTTGGGTTTGCTTTATCTGGCCGGAGTCAAAAAGCTCAGCATTTGAATACCGCAGAGTTATGGAGCACCGATGGAACCGCACCGGACTTTTTTGCGGCTACATTATCAAAATATCGGTATCATATTCTGGTTCAAGCTATAAGATTTAACGACAGCAATTCAAGGAAGGAACGAGCAAAATTTGACAATTTAGCCCCTATACGTCACATTTTTGATGCCTTTGTTCAACAATGCTTGAATAATTACAATTTGTACAATTACAATTACAATTGATGAAATGTTGGAAGCATTTCGGGGTAGATGCAAATTTAGACAGTATATTGCTAATAAACCTGCAAAATATGGGATTAAAATATATGCGCTTTGTGTTGCTAGAATGTTCTATACATCTAATATGGAAATTTATCCTATAAGACAATCCGATGGGCCTTTCCAAAAGCCCAATGATGCGAGTAGTGTAGTAAAACGACTTATTCAACCAATTAATAACTCATGAAGAAATGTTACCATGGACAACTATTTTACATCGGTTCCTCTAGTCAATGATTTATACGAAAACCACAGATTAACTATAGTAGGTACAATACGAAAAAATAAAGCCCAAATTCCTCCAATGCTACTGGATGTATTGTGACAAAGAAGGAAATACGAAAAACCATTGTATATTAGCTTCTTACGTACCAAAAAAGAACAAAAACGTACTAATGTTATCAACATTGCATGACGATGATTCCATAGATCCTTCATCCCAAGATCTGAAACCCTAGGTCATTACCTTTTACAACAGTACGAAGGGAGGTGTAGATGTCGTTGATCGGCTAAAATCAGAGTATTCTGTGAGCAGAATAAGTAACCGTTGGCCCCTTACTGTCTTTTGTACTCTGCTCAATATTGCCACTGTAAATAGCCAGATAATTTTTAGAAGCAATACTAATGTAATTTTAAACTGAAGAGCTTTCATTACTGATTTAGCAAAACAACTTGTACTACCCCATGTAACTCGTCGAGCATCTATACCAAGGTTATCTACAAGTCTTCGTCAAAAAATACATAACGTAGCTGGAATCAAACCTCAACCGGCATCGTCAACAGCAAATAATGAAAAACCAAGATGCCTTTACTGCCCAGTAAGAAAAAACCGCTTTACCCAACATCGTTGCAATATTTGCACAAGCCCAATTTGTAAAGAACACACGCAGAGAACAAGTTATACATGCACGGCATGCACAGATGACGATAATGATGGAAATTAAATCATTGTAAGTTTTTTGTTTACTTACCTTTTTAGCTTACTTATTCCCTTTTTGTGTTTTTTTTAGGCACTGAGACAGAATAACGTTAAGCAATTGTTCGCAGAGTCTAAGCGAAACAGGGAATACTTTGCTTACCAAAACTTACTTTTTCTTATCTTTTAACTTACCCTTTTCGGTTTTGTTGCCATAATTATGTTAAGTTTGAATGTGTTAAATAATTTAGTTTCAGTTTTTGCTTATTAAAATGAGTTATTGGGAAACTAAAATTGTTTTATTGAAAAAACACTAATGTTAGATAAAATCTAACACGACAGTGATGGTGTAATAAAATTAACGACATTGATGCTGGGTTAAGTCTTTTTTTTATTTCCAAATCAGTTTGGTGTTCTGTCAATATGTTGACATAGTTGACAATATTTACATAGATTTTAAGTTTTAGATTTTTAAGTTTATTGCAAATAATTGTTTGGTAGTTTAATTTATATAATTTATACAAATACTTATGCACATATTGTATAAACAATATTTAATTATAAAGAAAACACATTTTCTTACTTAGAAAGTATCTAGGTAGTTATTTATTTAATAAGTCTTTTTTTTTAATTTCCAAATCAGTTTTTTTATTTCTAATTGTATTTTTTTAATCTCTAATTCTACTATTTCCTTTTCCTTCACAATTTCCAATATTTCCAGTTTCCTCAACTGCACTTTCTTCTTTAGGTCCATCAAATCATCAGATTCAGTACTTTTTTTCTTTATTTTTGGCGTTTTTGTAGCTAAACACCCACCTTGTGATGAATCTTTATCATCTGTAAAAAACATAAAGTTGTATAATTTGTATATTATATAGAGTAGTAGATAATAAATATGTAAATAAAATTTTAGTAAAAAATACTTTATAAAAGACACATTTATTTAAAAACCCTTTCAAGCTAAAGCACAGAACGTTTTGAGAATAAATATTCTATCTTAATTTCTGCTACAAGGTATAAATGTTTAAAGCCACTAAATTCATGGCAGCAAATACTTTAAATTGGTATTAGATTATATTATATGTGCTGCTAATTTTAAGGATGTTTAAAGTTGCTACCCAAGATCCAAATGGAGAACATATCTCTCATGTGGGAGTTTACGTTGCCATGAAGTGAATCTACTTAAAACTTATCCTTATTATTAAGATCCTATAAAATTATCAGCAATTATGTAATCTAAAACCAATTTAATAACATTTAAATCTATTTTGTGGCTTTAAACATGTATACCTTGTAGTCGCACTAAACATAGAATATTTATTTTAAAAATGTTCTGTAATTTAGGCCAAAACATTTTTTAAATAATATACCTTTTATAAAAGATTTTTACCACAAATTGTTTGGGATATATAGTATATAGTCTACTACAGGAAATGAATTTTTCCTTGCTGATTTTAATAACAGTATTTCAAATGTGTTTTTACTACATTTGTCAACTGAATTAAAACAATTCCTAAATTAATTTTGTTTTACTTCTTTGAAAAATAATACCCCCTCTAGTTTGTATATAGGACAATATATATTGATAGTTTAATATCCTTCGGACCAACCTGGTGTCCTAACAGATCTAGAAGGGGCTTATCCCTATACCATGCTCTACTTTTTTAAATATAGAAACAACCAGCTTATTGTAATTACTCAAATATTTAGTCTGACATACATTGGACACTATTAGATTTTAGCAACTATAGTATTGAGGTACAATGATATTAAATCTTACCTTGAATAAAATCTGAAGGGGCAGTATTAACTGTTGCCCAATCCCTTTTTGGGGGTTACACATTATCTATAAGTAAAATTTATTAGACTGGCATTTATAGTGTTTAAAATTATATTATTACCTCTAATTATTATATTTGGTAAGACACTGCAGGTGGAAGTGCTGGCAAGCTCCTCCATACTGGATAGTGGTATTGCTGATACATATCTTCTTCACTGTTGCTTATATCATCTGTAAGCAAAATAAGGATCAATGCATTTCTATTATTAAGATCAATTTGTAATTGCAGAAACAATGTGAACATAATTGTGGCCTATATAGTGTTTAATTAGTTAGATGTTATTTAATCTTGACTATTTTATTTTTTCAAATAATATTAAATCTTACCTTGATAAATAACATCAGGTATATTATTACTATCATACATATTTTCAATTGGGTCTAGTTGAGGTCCCATAATGGCAAGAATGCGTTCATCTTGCGGTTTTATAATTGGTACCTTCGTACCACCTCCTGTGATATATGTTTGAACCTGTAAAAATTGCAATTTGTTATTATTCATTTTTTCAACTGTCAACAAATATTGTTCTAAAGCTTTTTCTTGGGGCATTTTAAATTAATTACTATTTAACTGGAATTATTATAGAACGATTTCCGAAGTGGAAATTGAAACGTCAATAAATATATTTTAACCTTTAATTGTGGCTTATTCCCAGTTAAATAGTAATTAAATCAACAAATAATTTTATACTACCTACCTTATCATCAGCTTTTTGTTTTTTAAGCTTCTTTTTCAGTCCCTCGTATAATAGTTTTAACTGCATTCCACTTCGAATGCCAGTTTTACATGTGCTGTTATATTCCAACGCAATTTTTTCCCATGTTACATGCTTTTGTTTCGACCACACACTGTCGGTTTTTTTGTTTTCAATATTGTGCAAGTATTTTTCTATTATTGAAATTAAATTCTCTTTTTCCTCCTCCAAATAATTCTTGCTTCTTTTAGCAAGAAGCATTTTAATTTTATTAAAATAATTTTTTTTATTTATGTACTGTGATGAAGATCAACAAATAACAAATATAGGGTTATGTATGTATGTGATTGCAGTTAATACACAGCCTCCTACAGTTACAAGCCATGAAGTAAAAAAGGCAACGTCGCAACATATGATTTAGGTCGTCCTACATAATAAGGAAACAAGGTATGCTCACTAGGTGGACTCGTTTTTGCACATTTCTGCGCCGACCAAAATCCACCATCTTTTCAATATGTCACATGCGTGTAGGGATGGTGACCTGATCCCGTACCAGTTACTTTGGAACATGTATTTTATTTATAATTGTGGAACTGATACGTAACACCAATATATTATAATAAACGAGTACGGGTCATGGACGTATAAATAAAGATCTTTATTTATACGTCCATGGTACGGGTACTGTACTCATAGTAAGTGTATGAGTGTAAGTGTAAGAGTAAGAAAAAATAAAAATAAGACATTTTTTAATTAAAATTTTTTTTTTTTGTAATTATTATGTAAGCAGCAGTTTTATATAACAAACTAATTTTATTTGGTAAGTTAACAAAAAATTTTTTATTTCTAGTTCAGCTTTGTAAGATATTTTGTATTTTTTAGAAGCTCTTGATAAGAATTGTAATCACAATTGAAAGCTCGAGTAAAAAATAGTCAACAAATAGCCCCTTTTATTGACTCCAACCCATCCAAAACAGTTATATATATATATATATATATATATATATATATATATATATATATATATATATATATATATATATATATACTAAGATTTCGAAACAAATTAATTAGTTTCTCAGCAATACAAATAATTTTCTAATATTCAAATATTTTTATTTAATAATCAAATATTTTTGTTTATGCGTATCAGTTTGACCTGATCCATGATATAAGGAAACAAAGCAGACGTCACGCATGTGACGTATTAAAAAAATGGTCGAATTTTGTGTATTCAAATAAAATATGTACCAAATTGATAAAAAATATCGTAGTTAAATAAAATAAAATAAAATTAATATTATACATTAATCCAATTAACTATGGTGACTGAAATATAAGTAATAAGCAAATGTATCGTCGAAAATATTAAAATAAAAACTTAAATTCGTTCATATAATAAAAAACACAACAAAACTGTAATATTGATGCAAATTTTTATTCATAAAAAATAAAATTAACACGGAAAAAATAAAACTTTAATTATCAACAATAAATTTATACAGTAATAAATAGCTCGCAAGATATTTTTTTTAAGTATAAAACTTCATAGCTTTTTCCGACATTCCAGATACTCTTATTTTATTGTTTGCCTCTTTTCTTTGCTGATTAATTTTACGTAATCTAATGTACGTTCTAGTTCTAACTAAACATAAAATCATATCAAAGGGAACTTTGTCAATTTTCACATTGACTAGAGAAGCTACTTTTGAAAAAATTCTATTAGTATCAGCTATAGCTGATCCATGAAACTCATTAAAAAATTTTTCTAATATTTTGCAGTATTAATTAAATTATCAGAAGGGATATATTAAATTGCCTCTCGAAACATGATCAACCCATTGCACAAGGACTTTTTTTGAGAAGGTCTAGAGTTGGGGTACCATATTGAGGGTATTTAATACGAAATCGATGCGCAACATAACCAGCAACATATATTAATGCCTCCTCTTCCATTATTTCCTGTATAGATTCCATCTCAGTTAGCCCATCAAAATAATCTAGAAATAATATTATATTTATTCAAAAGAATTATTAGTACTTTTCGATACAAGTGAGTAATTTACCTGGATCTTTAACATCGTCTACATTATCCATAAAATCTGTTATCTCTTCATCGTAGCAATCACCTAATATATCTTTTATTACTTCTATATTAGCATCTTCAAAAACATCACTCAAAAAATTGTGACATTCTTCATTTTCTTTACTCAATGACGAATCTACTGCAGAAACTAAAGCTTCATCCTCATCATCTTCAGTATTGCAGTTTTCGGAAAACATATCGTTACTATGTTTACCAAGTATATACCATCGAAGTCTGTATCTAAACTGCAAAGCTGAAGGTTTCATGTGTGCAGCTCCCATTCCTGGAATATATGAAAAAAATTTTCAAGTACATCTTGGTTTAATCTATTTGCACAAAGATACGTAATAGAAACATCTTCAGTATTGTAGTTTTCTTTAAGATATTCAAGTAATCCTTTTACAGAATTATTTGTCAAAATTACTCCTTTTTGAAAAGGAATTAAGGACTTATGGTTGCCTACTGTACAATCATTCATTAATTTGGTCATTTTATCTAATACATCATTTTGTTCATTTAAATTTGTAACGTAAGCTGATGTTAATGCCGTTTTGCCAAATTTTGATCTTGTATTTAAAACGTCAAACCAATCATTGCTTGTCTTTATGAAATCAGCGCATTCTTTCCATTTATCGTAATTACCACTACCATCTGAATCAAAGAAGAATTCATTTTCACCACACCATCGAATGGACTCGCTTGTATTATTTGATAATACTATAGCAGCATACTTGACATTCTGCCTTTCACCTGCACGAACATCCAAATGCTTTTGTTCTAAGTTATAAGTTACTTTCAAATCTTTACAATTATATTTTAACAACTGTTCTAACCATCTTTTATCTATAAAAATTCCGTCAGGTAGATGATATCCGTCATCAAGAAAATGATTCCTGATGAGTTTAAGTAAATGTGGAGGGTCAGCAAAAACAAAAATTTTCAAATCCTTATCTTTCGGATGTTCAAAATAACATTTGTCATTTTGCCCAATATCAACGCCAAAATATTTCCAAATACTTGAATAAGTGGATCCTTGGTCAGTTGTCACTCCAACTACATTGTAACCTGCATCGTATAGTTTATTAATAATTTCATTTACAGTTGTTTTTGTAAGAGCTTTATCATAATCATGATAGATGACTTGCTTCCACTTATCAAAAATACCTCTCACCATTCCTACCTGCAAAGAAAATTATAAGTAAATAGTAGTTAGTAGTATTTTAAATACATAAAACAAATTTTTAAGAAATAAAAATACTCCAAAGTGTCTTTATATAATAGATAATAAAATATAATATAGATAGATAATAGATAGATAATAGATATAATAGAAAATAAAATATAAAATTCCGACAAAACATTTTTTTTTAGAAACTATTATGAACTAATTAGAACTCTTATAAAGTGCTTTAAAAAGTCAGTTTTGGAACTCTGAAAAAGTGTATAGAAGTTTATAAGAATTTATAAGTTTATAAAACGAGTAAATAACTTTTTAAGGGAATACATAAATGGAATCTTTTTTTAAGGGTAAACTATCCATTTCTGGGACGAGAGCTGGTTTCAAGTACTCTCATAAAGTCAAAACTAAAAAAATTGATTTCTAATTTGTAACGGAGGAAATATTAAAGTCGTAGTTTCGTGATAATTGCCCACATATATGTATATTAGAGTGACATTTATTTCCCAATTTTTAAATTTTGTTCCTCCCAATTCCTAAATGGATAGGTTACCCCAAAGATTTCCGCTATGAAACCGCCTAAAAATTGATATTTACCCCTTTCGCTTGACGATTTTTGATTTTTCGATATTATTTTTTTTGGCAGCTCTCTAGTGCACGAAAAATTCTGAAAAAAGTCTGAAAGATACCTCTTTTAATTACAAATCACCATGCATTTTTTCAGATTTTTTTGTCGTAAAGATTTTTATATAGAAAATAATAATCGAAACGAAAAAAATATATCGTTATATCGAAACGGTTTAATTAATCGATATAAATTTTTCATTTCGATTATTATTTTCTATACAAAAATCTTTACGACAAAACAATCTGAAAAAATTCATGGTGATTTGTAGTCAATAGAGGTACCTTCCAGAATTTTTTTCAGATTTTTTGGTGGATTATGGAGCCGTCAAAAAAAGAATATCGAACCATCGAAAAGCGGAAGGGGTAAATATCGATTTTTAGGGGGTTTCACAGCAGAAATCGTATTTTTTTGAGGTAACCTAGGGGTTAGGAGGAACAAAATTTAAAAACCGCTGCCAATAATTTGACAAGTAGCTTGCGTGTGTGTATGTATATACGAACCTGCACAGTTTTATGGGGTCCTATTTTATTTCACCTTTTCTATCAATTTCCACATGTTGTGAAATATAAATCTTGTCGAAGCTTGCTATACAAAGTTTTTTATGAATGGGTTTATCCAAACCTTTTCTTCTCATCATATCTATTACTTCATCTAAAGTTCCAGGATTTATCTTTATTTTACTGGCCCATCTTCTTAATGTCGACAAGGAAGGTAATGGGTAATTTTTTTCTTCAAATATCTATATGCTTTAGGGGTAATGCTGCGTAAAGCAATAGCAGAGGCAATATCTTCAGTACTCCATTGTATTGTTTTTGTTTTTGGATGCAACAATTTTCTAGTTTGACCATGGGTAAAACAGGTTCCAAA